AATACAAAGCAGTAGGGTCATTTGTCAGCTTCAGCACAAATCCATCTGTAGGTAGACGACAGGGAATATACTTGATTGTTTGGTAGGGAATACAAAGCAGTAGGGTCATTAGTCAGCTTCAGCACAAATCCATCTGTAGGTAGACGACAGGGAATATACTTGATTGTTTGGTAGGGAATACAAAGCAGTAGGGTCATTAGTCAGCTTCAGCACAAATCCATCTGTAGGTAGACGACAGGGAATATACTTGATTGTTTGGTAGGGAATACAAAGAAATAGGGTCATTAGTCAGCTTCAGCACAAATCCATCTGTAGGTAGACGACAGGGAATATACTTGATTGTTTGGTAGGGAATACAAAGAAATAGGGTCATTAGTCAGCTTCAGCACAAATCCATCTGTAGGTAGACGACAGGGAATATACTTGATTGTTTGGTAGGGAATACAAAGAAATAGGGTCATTAGTCAGCTTCAGCACAAATCCATCTGTAGGTAGACGACAGGGAATATACTTGATTGTTTGGTAGGGAATACAAAGAAATAGGGTCATTAGTCAGCTTCAGCACAAATCCATCTGTAGGTAGACGACAGGGAATATACTTGATTGTTTGGTAGGGAATACAAAGAAATAGGGTCATTAGTCAGCTTCAGCACAAATCCATCTGTAGGTAGACGACAGGGAAATACTTGATTGTTTGGTAGAATAGGGTCATTAGTCAGCTTCAGCACAAATCCATCTGTAGGTAGACGACAGGGAATATACTTGATTGTTTGGTAGGGAATACAAAGCAGTAGGGTCATTTGTCAGCTTCAGCACAAATCCATCTGTAGGTAGACGACAGGGAATATACTTGATTGTTTGGTAGGGAATACAAAGAAATAGGGTCATTTGTCAGCTTCAGCACAAATCCATCTGTAGGTAGACGACAGGGAATATACTTGATTGTTTGGTAGGGAATACAAAGCAGTAGGGTCATTAGTCAGCTTCAGCACAAATCCATCTGTAGGTAGACGACAGGGAATATATGTGATTGTTTGGTAGGGAATACAAAGAAATAGGGTCATTTGTCAGCTTCAGCACAAATCCATCTGTAGGTAGACGACAGGGAATATACTTGATTGTTTGGTAGGGAATACAAAGAAATAGGGTCATTTGTCAGCTTCACAAATCCATCTTTAGGTAGATGACAGGGAATATACTTGATTGTTTGGTAGGGAATACAAAGCAGAAGGGTCATTTGTCAGCTTCTTTAACAAGAGATCCCAGAGGGATCTTGGCGCCCACCATTTGAAGATCTGTTTTCAGTTCTTGAAGATTTGTTTATTTATTTTTTGTTTGTTGCAGGTGTTGTAAATGTTCATGAACTGGTCTTCATTGAATGTACTCAATGATGGCACAAGATATTTTTATAAAGCACCTATTAGCAAATATCATTTGAAGAAGATCCCAAAGTATTATTAGATAGCAGTCAGTTACAGATGGATAATGGACATGGTCTTGAATCAATATGATAGAATATCGAAGAAAATATGCTTGTGCTGTATTACTGTCGACATCCAAGATGGCTGCCTGTGGGCCAACTTGATTTCAAATTAGTCAAAAAAAAGTAAAATGCACAACTAGGGACCAAGGGAAACCAATACCTATGAAACATCAGAAGTATCCATCCAGTACTTCCTCAGAAATAGCGGTAACAAACTTTTACTTCCAAAATCCAAGATGGCCGCCTGTCAGCCATCTTGAATTTGAATCAGTCCCAAAAAGGTACAATGCACAACTAGGGACCAAGGGGAACCTGTATATGAAATTTCAGAAAGATCCACCTAGTACTTTCCCAGAAATAGCGGTAACAAACTTTTACTTCCAAAATCCAAGATGGCCGCCTGTCAGCCATCTTGAATTTGAATCAGTCCAAAAAAGGTACAATGCACAACTAAGGACCAAGTGGAACCTGCATATGAAATTTCAGAAAGATCCATCCAGTACTTTCCCAGAAATAGCGGTAACAAGAATTGTTTACGGACGGACGGACGGACCACGGACGCAGGGCGATTTGAATACCCCACCATCTGATGATGGTGGGCTAAAAATTGCATAAAATATGAAAGTATTAAAATCTATTTTTCCAAACAGCAGTAAACAAATTGGGTTGATTGTGTGGTTTTCACATCGCTTACTTGGTAGAATTTTGTTTAAATGGTTTTAATGGGAGACAAGAATTATATTTTGACATGGATTGTATGAGGCAACATCTTGCTGAATGTTTTTCAAAAGGTATTTTTACAAAAAGGCATGTTACATCTGGAAATAGACTGTTGATCAATGAAAGTTTCAGGTAGGGTAAAAACAGATTGAAACTGTGTGTTAAGCACTTGTGCTTTGCCAACAGGATTATGTATGAGTTTAACCCTCTTGTTTCAATGGAGAGATGCCACCGTGATCCGATCGTTTGGCTTTTTGACCAGAAGCGTTTCATACCAGAGTATTGGTTATCAGAATGTGAGATATCAGGGTTTAATATATCATCAATATGTGTGTTTTATGTCTTTAAATTTTTATTTTAACAAGGAATCCACAGATTTTTTTAGCTTTAACATCAAGCCTATCTCGTTTTCTTATGAACTTTTTTTATCTCAGGGGTAACTGATGGTAGATTAGTTTTGGACTTTATGGTTTTCTGTGGGATATGTTCCTGGACAGTTTTCATAAGTTCACTTTTAAGATATTCCCACATTGAATTTGCATCCCACTCATTATTTGTTAACACATAATTATAAATATCCCCCAAGTGTAATTTGATACAATTCCAATTAGCATTTTTGTGTAATGGGATTTTTCTTGGTTTTTTAATAAGTTTTATGGATGTGAGAGTAAATTTAACAAAGACGATGGTATGGTCAGATCTTCCAAGGATGATTTCAGTACGGGACACCTGATTAGGAGAATTTGTTATGACCATATCTAAGGTATTATCGTTTCGGGCCGGTTCTTCAATAACTTGTGTTAGACCAGTGTCGTCCAATAAATTTGAAAAGTCATAGTGGATTTTGGTATGACAAGTTTTGGGTTTAAGAACATTTTTCTTCCAGTCCCAGCCTGGAAGATTTAAGTCTCCACCTATTATAAGGGTTGCATTTCTCAATTTACAGGCCTCGTTTACCAAATCAATGAATGATTTCATGCTATCTTCTTTAGAGATAAAATTAGCTGACGTAAAGAGTTTCACTCCCGACTATCTTAACCTTAGCCCATACCATTTCACATGAACTGGTGGGTGTAAGATCGTGTACCTCTTCACCAATAAGTTCTTCCTTTATTGCAATGAAAACACCTCCGCCATCTTTGCTGTTATCATACTTTTTACGATCGTTTCGAAAAATTTTGTAACACAAAGGAAATATTTCTGAGTTTTTGATATTTGAGTTGAGCCAAGTCTCTGTGCCAATGACTATGTCTGGCATGGAGCTATCTAGGATATTGTAGAGAAGATGTTGTTTATTTCGAATTGATTGGAAATTTATATTTAAAATTCTTAGTGATTTATTTTGTTGTTTTTTTTCAGTTCTCTTTTTAATACGAACAGGGATGGATGAATGGAGTGGTTTGTGATGGGGAACACCAACACTGGTGTTTGTACTACCCAAGTCGTCAATGCTAGATAGTGTATTAAAATGATTTGTACTTATGCCATGAACATCAAACAAAATATCATTATCTTACATAAAGAGTATCTCATTTCGAACATTTTTGACAACATTGTAACTTACGATGCTGGTTGTAAAAGGTGGTTTCATATTAGATGTGTTAGTGATGAGTCAAATGTAATCTTTCCAGGGATAGTTTTATTTGGAGGTGTGAAAAATGTTAATGATAGCAGTGCAATATCTTAGATAAGATTGTATGAATAAAGTAAGCAATTCCGTGGACAAACCCTATGTGAAATTATTCTTAATTACATACATTGTTTACAAAAATGTTATTTGAAATATATTATTCAAAATAATTCTTGGTATTAAAAAAAGACTCACCAAACGTATGACATATTCCATACGAAAGTGTACCATTTACTCCCATTATAAAAATGTTTTTGAAGTGAATATATTTCATTTATTTTTAACATCACCTGAAAATATGACCAAAATAAATCAATACTATGTAAAAAAATTATCAAGAATCAATAAAATCAGCATTTTATGATTAAATTAAATTTTCCATGTGCTAATGTCATGTTTGACGGAATCTTTGACGGATATTCTGACATTAGCACTTGGATGATATACACATTCATATGAATCTCTTATAAGCTTCAGTTTTAAAAATATGTTTTAATAAAAAATCTAAAAATTTGACATTAAAACTATTTTAAATCTTGAAGCTTTCTTATATCAATGATGAGATATTGTGGTTTCAAAATTGTGCTAATGTCAGAAGTTGACGGAACAACTTGTTGCTAAGGTCAGGTGATGACGGAACAACTTGTTGCTAATGTCAGAAGTTGACGGAACTATTTGTTGCTAATGTCAGGTAATGACGGAACAATTTACGCTAATGTCAGGTGATGACGGAACTCTATTTTCAGGTTTGTTGTTTGTTTAGGTTTAACAGCCCATCAACACAACTGTATTGACAGAACTTTGTCAAATTCATGAAATTCCAAGATGTATAGTCATTAAGATCTTGTTGATGGAGATGGCGTTTCTGAGTTTAAAATAATACATTATTAATGCATTAAGCAATGCTTGATATTGTACAAGTTGTCGCACTCTTTGAAACCAGATTTAACCTATAAATACATGGCTGGTGTTGCATGTGAGGCAGGCATTATTTACTCTTCCAGAGCACACAGGCTTGCCTTCATCGTTTTGAATGTCTATGTGTTACCCATTATGTTTAACTTCAGTATGTTGATGGCTGCATCTGCAGAGTGGAATGTTCTTTCATATTGATAGAACGTATTCGGGTTGTATAGCACAATTTCAAAACAGTAAAAAATAAATCCATTTTTATGTATTTCTTCAAAAGTTTATTTCCAATTTATGAATTTCATTATTTCTTCTGTTCTCATCTTCACACCATTTCTGCAAGTAAAAAAAATGAGAAGAATAAGTATGTAAATTTCAAACACAATTCATACAATTTAGAGCCCTATATTGAATAATTTATTTTTGGTAAAAAAACATTGTTGAAAGACTGAGAAAATTTTGCACTTATTCAGGGATTAGGAGACAGTATTAATATATACAGTTAACAAGGATAGGTACATGGTAAGTTATGATTATAAGCAATAATTGATTAGGAACAAACTTTAAATGAGGTTTTAGATCCAGTACCTTCACATTCTTATAATGCAATGAGTCTTACCAAATTTGTATAACATTCTGGATCCATACATCTCAATTTGTGGGGGGTCCAATTTAGATAAAATATCAGCGGTGATGATGGCATGCTTTAATGAACCCATCACCCAACCCCCTCTTTTCTTCTCAAAGAATGAGACAAACGGCCATTCCTGCACCTAAAAAAGCAACATAAAAAACACTTCACAGGTTGCAAAATTGTTTTCCTGTAATGGCATAGTTATGTTGAAATTAGAACACAGCTGGAAAATTGCACATTTATATGCTCTTCACATGTACTGATAAACTTTCTGCGATTTTAAATAATGGTGACTTGATATGTAAATTGTAAAACAATAAATGACCATTCAAAAATCAGCAAGAATTGAATTGTATGGGATGTTAAATATTATTTGATCGCAATAAATTTGAAAAGCTGTCTCCAAAGTAGAACTCTAAAACACAGTTTTGAAATTGACTAAGATTAATTGTTATAAAACACTATGCCTATATTATTCCACTTTATTATTTAGTTCAAATGTTACCAAATATAGTACTGGGTGGCACCATTTTAAATAATGCAAACTAAACATGAACTTACATTGATCTCTAATTGTTTAAAATTGAGGCCAACATTAACTGTACATACACTAAAAGCAAGACCATTAAAACCCTTTTCCCTGACTGCTAGGGTATAAAATTGGAAACAAATGAGAACAAAGAATATACAAATGAAATTGTAATACAAACTGAAAGTACAATCAACACAAGAGCAGACTTGAAACAAAGGCAAGATCTACATGGAGACTTCCTGCAAAACTACAAGGAGAATAAGACCAGAGGTTCCAAAAGAATAAACATCTTCAATGATGCCACTTGTCCTGTAGATCTTTAGAAGTCTACTCAAGTGAAAAAGTAACCATAAAAAACTGGAGCCAACAATATACTTACAACAGCAGGATACGATTTTTTGCCATGAGCAATAAGTAAAAATTGCCCAGTGGAATAACTGGAAGCATTAATATATAATATATCTGATATCAAAATATTAATTACTGCATAGTCAGCGTTTATCAAACTGACAAAAAAACATCAATTTTTTTAATCTGACTTCGTATGATTCATTGTTAATTTCATGTGTTCACTTTGTTAGAATAATAACAATATATATTGGTTTTGAGTACATAAAGGACACAACAATTATCTATCATGAGATGGTACTGGTAAAAGATGTAATTGTGGGAGGAGACACCAATTACCTGTTGTCCATGGTTGCTTGATTCTGTTCACCCACACTTGCTAAATTCTCATCATCAATGATTGCTGGACTCTAGACACTTCAATTACAAAACATGACATCATTGTAATTGTAATCCTTCATTTTAATTCACAAAGTAGGATGAGGAATGTTTGTCTTACTCAAATAATGATTGACATTTTGTCTTAATTTTGGTGTATGGATTGGATATTGTAATGTACATTAACAGTATCTAAACTCAGTTACATATATTATGCACTGTTGCATGCTTTCACAATGCTTTGCTTTTGATCTTCACTTGACATCTAGTTAGTTTATGATATAATTTAATGTATATACATGTACTCAGAAATTTTCGTCACTGGATACTTTCCCCCTTGGTAAAACGCAAAATACTTTCATCTACTTTAAAAAGTTGTAATTAGAAAATGAACTTTTCTCCTTCCTGTTGTATTCTCTCCATCCTCAAAAGGCGAAAATATCCAGGTATACAGTATTTACTTCACATGTTGTAGTATATGCACCATCTGATCCTTAGACATCCTATGTAGTATGCTAGCTAGCTTGTAACATATCTGCATGGTGTGCGTTGTGTGCTAATGCGTATGGATCACTAACCAGTCAATCCAAGCACAATGGAAACTGGGGGTTCTAGCTAGTGCTACTAAAATTTGAATGGCTATTTTCATACAGCACTTATGATATAAAAAGGACTATAATATGTATGAATACACTAGTAGTGTACTGAACTAGTATGGTGATCGGCATTTCAAAATTCCTTACAAATTTCAACTGTTCATAGATATCTTGAGCAATTTAGTCAGGTCATACAGGCACATTAGTAATCAATGGTTTTTGTTTTTGTTCTGTGTCTACTTACTGTTGGTTTCCCTGATAGGCTTTTATTGGACTCTCCGTCTCCTGTGAACTGGCTATTGGGCTTTCCATTGCCTGTGAACTGGCCATTAGAATTTCCATCTCCTGTGAACTGGCCATTAGACTTTCCATCTCCTGTGAACTGGCTATTAGACTTTCCATCTCCTGTGAACTGGCTATTGGACTTTCCATTGCCTGTGAAATTGCTGTTATTGGACTTTCCAAAGACCGTGAACTGAAAACAAATCAAAATCATTAGGTATAAAGGAACAACATTTATTAATATTACAATGTACTGGTATAAAAACTGAAGGATTTGTAAGGGTGTTAAGGTAGAGAAAAATCTGGCAAATTAATGAATTTATCTTTTGTTCCGAGTCTACTTACTGATGGTTTCCCTGATAGGCTATTATTGGACTTTCCATCTCCTGTGAACTGGCTATCACTGGTATTGGACTTTCCATCTCCTGTGAACTGGCTATCACTGGTATTGAACTTTCCATCTCCTGTGAACTGGCTATCACTGGTATTGGACTTTCCAGCTCCTGTGAACAGGCTATTACTGGTATTGGGCTTTCCATCTCCTGTGAACTGAAACCAAATCAAAATCTTTGTATAAAGGAATAAGTTATATTTATTGATATTACAATGTAATGGTATGATGATTGACAGATTTTTCAGGGTCTTAAAGTGGAGGGGAAACTGCAATACACGGAGAAAAATCTCAATCAGTGCATGCCTACCCTTTTGATTTTGATGTTTGGCTGTTTGTACATCCCTACCCTTTTTGTATTTCTGTGTGTACCTCGATTAAATGCCTATTAGTCAAAATATAAATATAGTACCTATGATTATAAATCAATTATTACTTACTCAGTAACTGTCTGAAGCAATGTATCCAGGAGACTGTCATCCAACTCAATATTTTCATCAGAGTCATCTGTGAAATTCTCATTCCGACCACAAACTTGGATGAGAGGAACAAAGTGGTTTGGTATCCAATTTTCCTTTTGTAGATCTTCTCTAGTGGATGTCCACATAATGAACAGAGGCTTCCTATGTCGCAGAACAAGAGGGTTGATTTCCCGACCTAATACTGCTTTGGGTACTGGTCCCCCCAAGTCTGGATAAACAGAAAAGACTGTGCTTCCTAGCATATCAGCGAGTGCAAAGAGCTGCCATATTCCCATGTACTCTTTGTCTCTAACAACCGCCATAGCTTCTGCTCTAAAAATTCTCTTAATTACAGATGGTGTGATTTTATCGCCTGCCGTGTACAGTTGAGACATCATAGTGTATGTGACACTTAGATGATCACCTTCTCCTTTGGGAAATTCCAAGCCTTGTTGTAGATTGTCATTGTTGGTATACAATTCTTCCCCCAGGCACATGGCAGTTACAATCCTAACTCTTATCTCTTCATGGTGTTCCTCATTGCCAAAACATGCGACACTGACCGACCTGGACAGACAGTTTCCATCACCTGTAATTCTGACTGGCAATCTGTTGCTTAGATCATTATTTACAGGCAGTAACCTTAGAGCCACCTTATCAGCAACCAATTTTGATTGGACCACTGTTACTGTATCATCCACTTGTACATGGCATCTTCGGAAATATTTGTCTTCTGTTAAATGTAAGCATCTTCTTTGAAGTTCATCAAATGATGATGATTTCTGGAGGCTGGAAAGAGTGTTTCTGAAGAAAAGCACACGTTCATCCCCTTCGATGGACAATTGTTCAGGTGTTACATTTACCAGTTGAAGTGCTTTTCTGGTCCTTTTTCTTGTCTTCTTTTTTGGGGATGGTTTCTTCTCCTTGGTGCTCTTGGCTGCATTTTTACTGGAATTGTTTTCTTTGTTGGCGCTTTGTTTCTGACTTGGTTGTCTTTTTCCTTCATCACAAGCACTTTCTGTAATATTCTTTGAACTTCCAGGCTCCCCTGAATTGCTAGTGAGGTAAATTTTTTTGAAAGGGGCAACAAATTCTTTGTTCACACAAGAATATCCTTGGCTGTCCATCTGACAAGACTCGCAGAAGCAGGAAAGATTTCTGACAAGTAGTGTTGACAATTCAGGTGAGTTGTTTATTATTTGGTGAAGTTTCCTTGTTCCTTTCACAGTCTTTGTGTGGTTCTCCTTTCCTTGCCTTTGGATTTCTGATTTTGGAATGTAGAAAAACCTCCTCTTGGATAGACAGTCATCAATTTCTAAGTTTTCATGGCAGTACATGTACATATCCAATACATTGTTTATAACCACTTTTTTACCTGTAATAGCTCTATCTAAGGCCCTGTTTACCACTCCGATCTCTGCATCACAGTCACCTTTTCCATGTTCAGAGCCAAAGAAGTTCCTGTTCACTTTTCTGTCCATCTTGGCCAATATTCCAAAAGGTCCTCTTGACTTGAATTGTGCACTGCAACCGTCACTAAACAAAATAGTTTTATCTGGGATTCCTATCCTGTTACTCAAATCCATGTAAACTTTCTCCTGAAAATAATCCACAGCATGATAATCATGGTTTAGATCATCAGATATAACAATGTCTGCTTCTCTGACAACACCTTGTTGAGTGTGGTAGTAAGAAACAACAGGATACATAGTGATTTGTTCAACAGTATAAAATACTGACTTGATTTCTTCCTGATACTTAATGCTTCGGTTTTTAGCAAAATCTACCACTTGAAGGAGGGTTTGTTCTGGCAAGGTATTCTTAATCATGAAAACTGAAAATCCTGCCATTTTGCAGTGTGTAGGTGGGAAACAAATGTTGTTCCTTGTGATGGCTGTAAGATGTCTTGAATGAATTCCTCCAATATTACCCTTTTTTGTCCACTCTTTGTCTTGAGTATCCTTTTCTTTTGCCCCTCTTGGCTATGGTACTCCCATCTTACCCATGTGAATGTTTTCTCCTCAGGGATGTCCATGTAGTAGTTTTTCAATGTTTCTGCAAAATTATTGCATGCAGAACATTCTCGGTTGACACATTTCTGTTTGAAAAATTTCTCATTGTCAGACTTCCGACAAAGTAGAATGTTTAGTAATGATCCTTCAGATGACACCTTTTTGCTCTTTGGACAACATCTATTTAATGTTAATAGTTTATTTCTGACGTTCATACAGTAAACGCAACAGCAATACTCTCGAAACTTTTCTGCAAGCTTTCTCACATTTCTAGGTCTTTTGGCTGCAAAACGCCCAAGTCCAACTTTGACTGATGATTCTAAATTGAACTTAGCATGGGCCTCACTGATGGAAATTTGCATCAAATAACCAGGACCCTCTTTGGTGGCGTAACGTTTTGTTGGAAGGACTCGTGATACATCTGATCGTTTATAAAACTCTTTTATGCAGTTATTGACATCCTGTGATTTTCTTTTCTTTTTCTTAGTTTTCTTTGTTAGGTTTTTTCTGTCAATTTTCAGTTTTGTAGCAACTGCGCGCTTGCTAAGATTTCTGTATCTAACTACAAGAGACCTTGCCAAGACTACCAAGGCCTTTTTTCCTTTAGTTGTCTTCTTCATTTCCTTTAGGCCAGCTTCTGGAACATGGATGAACTCATCAGCGATGGTTTTCCTTACTTCTTTTTTCTGCTGTGGACTGGAGTTTTTGATTACATTGCGTAAGATTGTGGCAAACTTCTTTGGGGACTTTGGAAGTGTTTTTCTTACATTAGATGTAATATTCCATTCACTCTTTTTTGTTCTGAAGGGTGTACTGGATTTATCCTGCACTTCTGTAACTGTTGCCTTGGAAATATTTTTTCTCTCTCTTGATCTACGCTTTCTCTCTCTGTCTTTCTTCTTGACCCATTCTTTCTTCTGGTAATTCATTCTTTCACGTTCATTGCGTTTTGCTTGCCGATTGTACTCTTTCCTTTGCAGAATTTTTGCCCTGGTTTCAATAATACATGCATTTTTCTCTTTTCGTGATTTCTTTAAGTATGTTCCACTCTGTTTTCTTCTGTTTTCATATTTCTCTTGTCTCTTTCTCTGCAACGAAAGGATTCTTTCTTTCTCTTTAACCACTTCAGGGTCTGGATTTGTCTTTTTAAGTTCTCTTTTTATTTTATCTCGTTTTTCTTTTACTCGCTTTTTTTGCTTTTCCAAATAGTGACGATACTTGACAGGATCAGCCTCTTTAAGCCATTGTCTATATAAGTTACTCCTATGTAGTCCTGTAACAGGAAAAAAAATAATTGTTAAATGACAAGGTTTGGATTGGCCCACATACTTAAAATAAAATCATATATCAGGTCCTTAGGTAAAAATTTACTTTCAAGTCAAAGGTTTTATCTAAAATAGTTTATATATATTTCTACACTGTGCTTTTCAATTTCCCTAATCACAGAAAGCAAAATTTAAATAAAATTATCCTTTTTTATAGTGCTCTCGACTTTTTTGAGGTGGAAAAAAATCTGACAATAGGTAATAGGTTTCCTCTGTCAATATATTTTCAACACATTCTGTTGTAAGTGTGACAAGAACTTATTCATCCTTGGACCAAAATGAATCAAAAGGACTTGTAAGCTTGAGTGAAATTACGCTATTCCACACAATCTTAACCATGTTACACAGTACAATACAAATAATGAAATCACTACACGGATGAATTGCATATTTACCATAACTCCTGGTTAACACGAAATGTCTGTCATGCATTTACATTCGCACATGATATGTCCGTCACTTATTTACGTTCGCTCATCAAGTGTCCGTCACTGATTTTACGTTCGCACACTAACCTTGTATGATTCACCTCCAGCTGGCGGTAAATTCAAAGCACTCACGAAAATATGTCACTTGAAAGCGTAATTCAAAATCCTGCAACGTATCAGCCCCAAATCATCGTTTAATGATATTCCCTGTGCGAACTGTCATTGATGCGAACGTAAAAAAAGTTGACAGAAAAACCAAAACATCAAAAACTCACCACTGAGATTCTCCGTGCCGCTAATGACAGCTGCCATGTTTACGGAAATAACACAGCACCCCCTTGTGTCGAGACTTCGATGTGAATGAAGGGCGGTAACATATGGTAAAGTGAAAAACAAAATTTGCGAACGTCGGAAGATATCGCGACACTGTTTGACAGAATTTACGTTCGCACGGCTTTTGGAGTTTTTAATCGAAAAACTTTAAAATTTAGTTGCAATTGGGATTATTATAAATGAAGGCAAACACACTAACTTCGAGCAATAACTGTGATTCATGTCCGGCCAATCAATACCAACGTTTGAGGGGACAAATTGCGAACGTCAGGATTGCTGACAGAATATTTAAAAAAACTATCACATCGAAGCAAATTAGCTTTTTGATTTTATATTGATCTTTTTTAAAACAAAAACATATGAAAATACGTATTTTTAGACCTTGTGTATTTTTTTAATGAACAGCGATTAAGATTTAGTCGGAAGAAAAAACTTTAAAAAGAGCCTGGAAAAGTGTTACGGGATAGACGGGAGTTCAGTTCCGTCAAAAAACGCTTCATTCTGTTTTTATTTTATTCTTGAAATGATTTCATGTTTCAATATTGTATAAATCAATTGATTTTCTAGATAGAGATGATAATGTTTTTGCTTAAAAACCACAAAAAAATTTTTTTTTCATTTATTGGAAGAAATATGACAGTTATGCAAAATGCAGCACATATGGTACCCTTTTGTATGGAATATGTCCTATGAGACTCAGCACATCCACACAGAAGAACGAAGGTTGTCACAGAAGCCTGAATGTGTCCTTACTAAAACATCAAAATTTTGGAAGAAATGCTGAGGGGAGGTTAGGCAATGCCATTCTGACCCAAAACAACACTGCAGAGAAAGCCATTCAAAAGAAGGTTGAACACTTTGGTGGTACTCTGAGTAGGGAGGTCAAACAAACTTGATAGACTCAGCTCAGAGGAAATATATTAACGCCAGCACCAATACAAACCTGCTGTCAAGAAAAGAAGTATGTTGTTGTTAGCAGAACAGCACAAGCAGCATGCAAAAAGGTCCAGGTCCGCTCGGAAGTCTGACTACAGGAGAAGTCAGCTAGATCCCAATATCCATCTATGTAGGGGAGACAAACGACAGGACCACATGTATTGAGAAGAGGTGACAACAAATTTATTAGAGACATGTCAACAATCGGAAAAAAAACCCAAATAATGTAACAACAACATCAACAACAACAATATATATGACTACCTAATGAGGGAACCTCCACGTGGTGGTAGTTGGACAATGTTGTATACATCAGTGTACAATAGCTAATACCCTCAAATGAATAAAAACTTAATTAAATTTTCAAATCCAACATGCAGTCACTGAACCCTAAATAACCATAACACACATTTGAATTTGAACAGTACTGCCTATTATTATTAATAAAATGAGGTTCTGAACTTATGTGCTCTACATTTACACATAAACTATTATGACAGAGATGGGAACAGTCCAGATCACTTGACAATTCTAAATTTTCAGAAAAACAGATAAAAGCAAGTCTGTGTGCATGTTTCTTTTTCCATTTTAAATCACTGGGGTCCTTAAATGACAGAATTCCATACTTTTCTGTCCTTGTTACAGGTCCAATCCAAATCCTACACAAGCCATTATCTGGGCTAACCACAGAAATTTCTAAGATCTTGTACTCGTATAGTTTGAAAAAATCCTCCATCTTAACTTTTAAAAATCAGGCGTAGGAATATACAATGACACAAATATGCTAATTTGATGTTATTTATAGATGTCCTGATCACTCCAGAAAATAAAGTTTAAATTTTTAAAAAAAAAATTTAATTAAAATTTTAATTATAATTGAAGTGATCAATTAAGAATTAATTCACTACCTATCAGTCATACAATATAGAACAACCATGCCAATTTGTATGAGAATCGGTCAAAAAATGTGGGTATGAGAAATAAAAACATGGATTTTTAGGCATGTCATTAAGGACTAAGACCACAATTAATTTCACTATATGTTTCATTGTAACATTAAAATTCATGACTAAGTCCCAAAGTTTCATCTGCAAATTTCTATTTCACCTGGCCAAGATCAACATTTGAGAAGCAAAATTTAAAAGTTTCAACCCATCATGTTGGGCATTTTCTGGAGATATACCTCCATGCGTGTCACCAACGTCAATTATATACATCCAGGTCAGGGGTAAAGGTGAAAACAGGACTTTTTACACTGGATCCTGCAGCACAAAATACATGTTCAATATGAATGATTTACACACTGACAGTTAGATTATCATCTCTATAACACATCTACATCAAATTTATATGCAAACATCCAATTAAAAGAGGCATATTATTTTTTTCCCAAATATACATACATTTTTTAGGGACTTTATTCGTGGGTACTGAACCCGGAAGTATTTAATTGTGATCTTAATCCTATTATCTCGTACCCAACATAATGGACTTATACCTAACACCAGTGACATATCTCATTCCCAACACCAGGGACATATCTCATACATTACACCAGGGACATGCCTCATACCTACCATCAGGGACATGTCTCATATCCAACACCAGGGACATATCCCTTACACCAGGGACATGCCTAACACATACCTACCACCAGGGACATGTCTCATCATATCCACTCTAGGGAAACATACCTAACACCAGGGGTCTCATATCCAACGCCAGGGAAATATTTCATACCTAACACCAGGGACATATGTCATACAAAACACCAGGGATATATCTCATACCCAACACCAAGGACATATCTCGTACCCAACACAATGGACTTCTACCTAACACCAGGGACATATCTCATACCTAACACCAGGGACATGTCTCATATCCAACACCAGGGACGTTTCATACCTAACACCAGGGATATATCCCATATCCAAGGGACATACACCAGGGATTTATCACATATCCTACACCAGGGACATGTGTCGTACAAAACACCAGGGATATATCTCATACAAAACTCCAGGGACATATCTCGTACCCAACACCAGGGACATATGTCGTACCCAACACCAGGGACATATGTCATATCCAACACCAGGGACATATCTCATACCTAACACCAGGGACATATCTCATACATAACACCAGGGACATACCTCATACCTAACACCAGGGACATATCTCATTCCCAACACCAGGGACATCTCTCATGCCCAACACCAGGGACATATCTCATACATAACACCAGGGACATGAATCATACCTAACACCAGGGACATGTCTCGTACACAACACAATGGACTTATAGCTAACACCAGGGCCATATCTCATACCTAACACTAAGAACATATCTCATACCTAACACCAGGGACATGCCTCATACCTAACACCAGGAACATGTCTCATATGCAACAACAGTGACATATCTCATTCCCAACACCAGGGACATATCTCATACCTAACACTAAGAACATGCCTCATAACTAACACCAGGGAAACGTCTGATATCAAACACCAGGGACACATCTCATACCCAACACTAGGGAAATATCTCATACCTAATACCAGGGACAAGCCTCATACCTAACACAAGGGATATGTCTCATTCCTAACACCAGGGACATGTCTCATATCCAACACCAGTGACATATCTCATACATAACAACAGGGACAAGCCTCATCAACCAACACCAGTGTTGATATCCAACACCATGATTCCCAACATGATGATGATGATGATGATGATGATGGGGAGGATTCTTTCATAATTGGTGTGCAAGGAGATTTGCAAGCGTGTGGGAGGAGGTTTGTTTGTATCATCTTGTATATGTTTTGTAACAAAAGTAACTGAAAAATAAAGAAACTGCTCCAGAGACATATCTCATACTCAACACTAAGGAAGTACCTTATTCTCAACACTAGAGGCATTTGTCTATAGTTTATTATCGTAATATTTTGTAGTTCAGCTACAAATTTCCAGGATTTCAGGAATTTCCATACGATATATTTAAAGCATAATTTGTTTTCCATATGGTGATAATTCATCATACATCTCATTTAATTCCCAATTCTATCTAATTAGGGATTATAGAAGGGGTTGCTTACACAGTCTCACTTCAGGTAAAGAGTGTGCACACGACCGTGACGATCCTTGGGAGGGAATAAGTGATCAAACTATGGTGTGACACTAATTAGTTGATTGCTTTGTGGACCGATCAAAGTGACCTGATGGTCATTTTTACCTGAGATGCAGTTGTAATGACGACACGTGACATGTATGCGATCTTTTCGGGAAAGTTGGAAGGCGGGGAGAGACGGAATCCCGAACCGTGCGAACTGTCGGGCAATGTTCAGCGCTTACAAAATCAACAACCGACTAATCATTATACTATATGAATCCAATGAATTTCGTCTGCTAAAAGCTAAAGTAAAAATTAGGATGATTATTGTGGCACGTTCATACCAGGCTTGGTAAAATATCGCAGCGCATGTGCGCATTATAAAATAGGAAAGTGTGGATCAGCGTACAGATCTGTAAAGGGCGCTGTTGAGTAAGTTTTTACATTAAAAGAAGAGTCCATACATCCTTCGAAGGAAGGTGTTTTGGCGTGAAATGCATCTGCACACGTGTATCAAAGCTTTAGGTAACATAAAAAGTTTATATACTATCGATAATTGATTAACTCACCACAGTCAACAGACGGTAAATGAAAGTGATGGCTACATGGCAATAGTCACATTTATTTTGCCGTTATTACGACAGTCGACACAATGGTAAGATA